TGTCGAAAAGCGTCCTCAGCTCAGCGTCCAGTAAGAATTCCGGCGATTCTCGACTTCAATTGAAAGATATTAGCTCGCCAGTAGGTGACCGTTGTGTGTTAGGCGTGCGTTTGAGTTTGTCTCCGGCTGCTGAGAGCAGCGATGGAATGGTTAGTTAGTCAGGAGGTGATCGTTCGGGCAACATTCAGCCCAGCCAGTGTCACGCATGGCAAAATACACGGTTAAAATACACATGTTCACCCTATTGAGACCAGTTGTTATGGTGGAAACTTTGGCCGCTTTGCGGGACGGGAAAATATCATCAGATCGGAATGAAATTTTGCACAGAACCTTGTACCATAGTATCGACAAGAATTCCGACCCGGCCCGACAAATCCGACAAACTTTTTTTTTTGCCATGAAAATGTGGACCACCCTACTGTCCATCCATAAATTCTCTGAGCCGCTTGCAATTTCCAACATTCAATCAACCTCCCGTGCATGTTTTTTTATAATTGAATGGTTATCTCAGTTAAACTGGCGAAGAAAGATGAAAAATAACACAATGGGATTGGAATTAAGAAGTCTTTTTTTTTTTTGAGGAGCAGCATTTCTATCCAGCTCTCAGCCGATCATAAATTAGTCTCAAATTAAAAATATTTCTGCATGATGTACGTTTGTAATTTAGGATGTCTCAGTGATGAAACCACTGCTAGGGCAGCCCGGTGATCGACTGGTTAGCATGTCCGCCTCACAGTGCAGAGGTGCAGGGTTCAATTCTGGCTCCGGACCTTCCTGTATGGAGTTTGCATGTTCTCTTGCGTGGGTTTTCTCTGGGTACTGAGGTTTCCTCCCACATTCCAAAAACATGCATGGCAGGTTACTTGAGCACTTGAGATTGTCCGTAGGTGTGAGTGTGAGCGCAAATGTTTGTCTATGTGTGGCCTGCGATTGGCTGGCAACCAGTTCAGGATGTCCCCCGCCTACTGCCCGAAGACAGCTGGGATAGGCTCCAGCACCCCCACGACCCTTGTGAGGATCAAGCGTTTCAGAAAATGGATGGATGGAATGGAGACTACTGGAGTTTTATGTTATGAAGTTTGACAAATAACTCTTCCTACCGACGTAGTACGAGAAGGTCCTTTTGAGGCGGTCGAAGACAAACCAGCGTTTCTTCCACGACTTGATCTTGCCTCCCATCTTCACCAGGTAGCCCTTGCACATCTTCTCAGTCAGAATGATGTGGTAGCAGGTGTCCACGCTGTGGCCTGATGTCTCAATGTGCGCACGAAGGTCAAACTCCTCCTTCCTAATTGGCAGGTAGCGTGTCATAGGACGTGCCTGGACACAGGTAGAAGAGAAGGTTAGGAAGAATTTACAGTAGCTCATTCTTCACTGATCCCGTGTTTTTTTCAATTTTTCCAGATAACATTTTTATGTTTACGTTACACACTGTATCAGAAATACTTCATAAATCCCACCATAGAGACGGTGCAATGCAATATGTTTTCCCTGTACCTTTTCACCTTAACCGGAAGATGTATTCATGATATGCACATTAGCTCCTGAGATCAATCAACACAGCCTGATTTGATGGATCAAATGCAGTTTTTAATTGCTGCTCAATAGACGTTTGAAACGGTGTTGATGAGTTTTGAATTGCTTGATGTTACAAAGGCGCCACAGTGTTCGACCGGTTAGCATGTCTGCCTCATAGTGCGCGGGTGCAGGGTTTGAGTCCAGCTCCAGCAATTCTTGTGTGGAGTTTGTATGTTCTCCCTGTGCCTGCGTGGGTTTTCTCCGGGTACTCTGGTTTCCTCCCACATTCCAAAAACATGTATGGCAGGCTGATTGAACACTCAAAAAATTGTCTCTAGGTGTGAGCGTGGATGGTTGCTCGTCTCTGTGTGCCCTGCGATTGGCTGGCAACCAGTTCAGGGTGTACCCACCGCCTACTGCCCGAAGACGGCTGGGATAGGCTCCAGCACCCCCCGCGACCCTTGTGAGGATAAAGTGGATCGGAAAATGGATGGATGGATGGATTTCACCCCCTAAAAAAATAATACTGTATTTTCCGCACGAAAAGACGCACTGTATTATGAGGCGCACCTTCAATGAATGGCTATTTTGTACATTTTTTTCATATGTTAGACGCCTCGCACTAAAAGGCGCAATCTACAATGCGTCCACTAGATGGTGCTACGCTCCTTCCATTCAACTCGAGAGACGTCAGTTCAACTTGAGAGGCGTTCACGACCGCCTCTGAAAAATGGAAATTTACTATTACTGTACTTGAATGAAACTACGAAAATTGAAAATAATGCATCAAAACAGAAAATCAAGCGAGGAAATCACAAAATAAATTCTATATCCCCCCCTACAGAATTTATTTTGTAATTTCCTCGCTTGATTTTCTTCGTGGTTTCATTGAAGTAAGAATTACTTTACGTTTTTCGTAGGCGGCCATGAACGCCTCTCAAGTGGAACGGAAGAAAGCGCGGAGACGGACAAAGACATACACTGCCTGTACTTGCTGAGACTGTGAAAACCATTCATAAAGTCTGCGTTTAAAAAAATAATAAAACCACAACCACAGCTCTCATTTTTTCAACAAACTCAGGTGTGTCTTTGTCCGTCTCCTTCCCTTCTTCCGGTCAACTCGAGAGGCGTTCATGACCGCCTCCGAAAAACCCATCGGCATTTCCTTTATCGTAGCTCCAAGAGTATAATCAGATAAGATAAAATAAGAAAACCTTTAATAATCTCACAATGGAGAAATTCCCACTTCACATCAGCAAAGTTATGAGAGGAAGAAGTAGAAGAACAAAATAAATAGGAGCTGCTGGAAAGGCAGCCACTCTCGCGGCGCCATCTTGAAGTCAAAATAACACAAGATGTCAGTCGTAGTTATTTATTCCTTTGTTGTGTATTCACAAATGATGAAATCATTTGGGACCAAATATATCAAGCAGTAGAGACTTAATTCCAGACACGTTCAGAAGCGCAAGTTTGTCAAACTCAGCTATCTCTTTCGAGGAGAGGCTATTTCACACATCACATTTCCAATTACCGTATCGGCCCCGAATATAAGATAACCCTGATTATAAGACGACCCCCTCTTTTTCAAGACTCAAGTTTGAAAAAAGACTTTTTGAACACCAAATTAATTTTTATACAGAAAATAATTACAGTGCATCTGAAACAAATGATTATAACAATATATTTGAGAGAAAAAGCATGTTATTTTGCCTCATTCAAATCTTAATATCTGAACATTTAAATATGTAAACTAAAGTGCAATCACATTCGTAAATGAATGGCTTCTGGTTTTTGAAATGTAAATAAACCAATCTATTGTGATAAAACAACAAAATTGCAAAAACTGCATTAACCATCAAAGTGAAATCTAACTGTAACTGTAGTCTTGAAACAAATCCGAATAAGGAAAAACATTGCAATAAAATAATGCAAACTGGTTAAACTTGACAGTAGCTGAAATCTGTCATGACAGAACATTACTCCTCACTGTGCTCAGTGTCACTGTCCTCGCTCCCATCCTCTGGCTCCGCTGGTTCCTCCCACAGCACGTCATCCTCACTGCCGTCCAGGGCATTTCATATACAACATTTTTTATTTTTCTTCTTCGTGCTACCACTATTTTTATTTTTATTCGTTGTAACAGGGGTTCGCTTTGGTCTGGGGAGTCAAGTTCAGCATTCGCTTCAATGATATCTGGCACCATTTAGCGTCGTGAATGGGTATAATGCAGTGGTGTCAAAAATACGGCCCGCGGGCCGGAACCGGCCCGAAAGGAGGCTGAATCAGGCCCGCAGGATAATTTAAAAGTGAAAAAAATACATTAAAGACACAGAATTAATATTTTTAATAAGGTGCAATTCATTGAGTATCCGCAAGGGGACACTGTTTTGATCAGAGAAGAAGACAACAGCAGCCTCAGTCCGTCACTGAGACAGACCCATGACAGCAGACGCTATCAATAGCACTCTCACATTTACACATTTAATAGCACTCTCCTTAGTTTGTAAGGTGTAGGCAGGGATTACATTTAGATTTTATATGCACGTGTAAATGCTTTAAAACTTGCTTTCTTTATGAATCTTGTTTAATCTTAAAGTGCATTACTATATTTTTCAATACCAATTACTTGTTAAAGTTTGTACAATCAGTGGGATCAGTTGCAATGCATATATGTGAATGATAAAAGTAAATTGCACATTTGTCGAAGGAAATGTAAGGTGCTTCATGAAATGTTTTGTAAAAGATATGTTCATTAAATTTCAACATTTTCCTAATGTTCTTGTGCTTCTTTATACCAAAACAAAGGAAAGACATATTGTTTTGGTTATTTATAGCAAAGTATGGTGTCATTTTAATGGTCCGGCCCACTTGACATCTACCGAGGTCGTATGTGGCCCACCATGTGAAATGAGTTTGACACCCCTGGTATAATGTCTAGACCCTGAATATAAGACGACCGCCACTTTTTCAGTCTTACTTCAATGCAAAAAACACAGTCTTATATTTGGGCCAATACGGTATGTCTCCTTTTACTGACCTGGGAGAAGTTCTTGGCCCTCAACTTCACTTCCTTCTCCACCAGCTGCTGTCGGTGGAGAGTTTCATCCTGCAGTCTTTTCTCTGCTTCCTCCCTCCTTTTCCGCTCTTCTTCCAACATTTGATGGCGAGCGAAGCTCTCCTGTTCCTGAAAGAGAGCTTTTTCTTTCAATCATTTTGACTAGAGTACATTTTAAGCAATATGGATCTTTTTGGTTTTTTTTACTCTGCTGTCCTTGTACTCATCACAATATTCTATCCCCATACGAGCTTTTCATTCAGACAGCAATTTGAACACCGTGACATCTGACAGACGATGAACCGATAAAAAGGCCAATACAAAAGGAATGAAAGGACTTCATTACAGTATTGAATCGTTCCTCCTTATTGATCCCGTCACACCAAAACGTCATCAATCAGGCAAATCTGATTCCGCCGCTGTTGTAATGACACGTACCCGAAACTCAATAAGTCTGGCTTTCTCCATCTGTGCCTCCTTCAGCATTTTCTCCATCTCTTCCATCTTCAGCGCGTCTGTTCCTCCAACACTTGTGGTGGAAATAAAAACACAGCATCTGCATTCAAATGGTTTCTGAGATCATCAGGATTTTACACAGTGATGAGCAACTCTGCCAAAGTGTTCTCTTCAGGGTGGAAATCCGCTAAAAACAACCGCCCGACTTTTTCCCTGTTTCTGTCATGGTTCTGTTTGTGACCAACAGGTGACACTATCGGGCTCCGCCTGCAGCTGCACATCTGTTGGTCATTGTGTCATTAGTTTTTTTGTTTGTTTGTTGAAAAGGACTCCCGGCATGACCACTCGGTGTCGGGTCATTGTTGCTGTTGTGTGTTTTGTTTTCTGTCTTAGGTTTTATTTGCTACTTTGTTTCCTGTGATTTTCCGAACTTTATTTGAGTGAGTTTGTGAGTTAGTTTCTCCTGTGTACTTCTGTTTACATTTAGTTAAATACATCTTGGTCGCGCCACCCTGCTCCTCCCTGCCTCCCTGCTTTTTTGGGTCCTCCCAACAACTACCACCATGAAAAACGTAACAGTTTCAATCAGAGGAAAGTTTGTAGACGAGAAATTGTACTTCCACTAGGACAGGCTGCTTTTGCAGAATGAGGTTGGAAATAGGTACATTTTAATCACACCGCATTTTGTCTTGAAACATTAAACATGAAAATATTGTAATCCAATATGCACAAAGTATTGGAATCCAATATGCACTTTTAACTAGCGCACAAATGCAATTTCAGTTTTGCTAAATATTTTACCAATACAGTTTTATCTCTTGTGAGCTACAACAAAGCTGCGAACGTGTTGAGCTGAGAGCTTCCTGCAGCGAACGTTTTTGTGACACGGCACACAACCTGGTTCCTACAGATGGTTCCCAAATTAAAACGTGCAGATAAAGTCAATTACTGCCGGGGAGCAGTCTGGGAAATGGTTACTGTGAGTGCTTTTATCTGTATGCCTGACTGAATTTGTCATAAAATGGCTCAATGGGATTATTCAGAATCGTGGGCCCTTCTTTGGTTCTTAAAAGATGTGTTGCTATAGCACTGCCCACGAGGGGGTTATATTGTATATTGATGGCATAAGTAGGTCACTATTCACAAATTCACTCATTCACAGATTTTTTTCAGAACCTATTCTGTCTTACAGTATTTGCCGAACACCTCACTTAGTTGCGATTTTGTGCACTTTCTGAAGTTCCTTAAATGCCCTGCCTTATAGAAAAAAAATTTTTGTGCTATTGGCAATTAGTATAAGCAAGAGTAATGGCTGAAGTTCTCGTGGGTACCTGGACAAATTATCTGGCGAGCAGGCGGAGTTGTTGCCTGTGGACACACTGGTGTCCATACTGTCTGAGCTCTCCAGGCTCAGTGTGTCGTAGGGCTGCTCTCCGGCTGATGCTGGATGGTGGTGTAGGATGGAGTGTTGGACCAGAGGAGGGGCGCCTGCAGACCTGTGACTCAATGTGGGACTGTAGGTCACTGCTGGAGAGTAGGGGGGCGCGGAGGTGATGAGATGAGGCTGCAAGCCATGGAGTGCCTCCCACTGGCACTGAGCCTCTTCTGCTGCTCTCTGCTTGAGCTCAGCTAGACGACGTCGCTGCTCTTCAATTACCTGCTGACCTGAAAAATGTGACATCGAAATTATTTTTGTTGCTGTTGTTTTTGTTTTTTTGTTGCTTTTGAGCAGTGTTAATATACCCTTTCTCCTGCAAGCAAAACAGCCAGTAAGTCAGCAGACACCCACAACAGGTCAAAGGCAGCTCATTAATATCAACATGTAAAGGGATACCCAAAGCTGGCTACGTTGAATTAGTTCAATATTGGCAAGAATCGGCAGTAAAGAGGCACTTTGGCCCTTAAGCCCAAAAGATTGGAAACATGCATGATTTATTGCCCACCAAAGAAAGACAGGACAGTCATGAGAGAAGATGAAAAATCATCTTTGGGAGCTAATGACACACCAGGCAATCGGGCATGGAAGGAGACGGAAGGTCGGAGGCATGAATTAATGCCCACCAACAGTCTCGGGATGGTTAACGTTGCCCTTGCCGCATAAGACGGTAAAAGTAACACCATGGTAGTTTTGAGGTCACACTGTTGCAAAGGCTACCTGCTGATCTTCCCTCTATGGGTGGCTGACTGGAGGCCGGAGGTTCTGAAGACCGCAGACAAAGACAGACAGATGGAAAGGATCTGGACATGCTGTTGTACAGTGCATACGAAATGTCTGTACACCCCTGTTCAAATTCCAGTTTTATTGTGATATAAAAAAACGAGACCAACAAAAAATAATTTCAAAACTTTTGCCACAATTCATGTGACTGATGATCTGTGTTCATGATTAGATTTGTTTTGTCTCTAAGAGGCATGTAAAAATAACTGAAATAAAATGGTTGCACAAAGGATGCAACTGTAAACCAATCATATTCAAAAATGTCTTTAAAAGGGAATTATCACACATTTGCCACAATTGAAAATGCTATGATTAAACAAGTCAGGAAAAGAATGAGATAATCTGTCCATGGGACAAGTGTTCGTCACATATTGCACACATCTGGCCTTTATGGAAGAGTGGCAAGAAGAAAGGCATTTCTCAAAGACAACCATAAGAACTCCAATGGAAAATATCACTTGGGAGACGAACATGTGGAAGAAGGTGCTCCAGTCAGATGAGAACAAAACGGAACTTTTTTGGGCTAAATGCAAAACTATATGTTTGGCGCACACTGCACATCACCCTGAAAACAGTGTCCTCACTGTCAAATGTGACGGTGGCAGCATCATAGTCTGGGGCTGCTTTTCTTCAGCAGGGATGGAGAAGGTGGATAGATAGAGGCTACAATTTTGAAAGAAAACCCATCGGGGTCTGCAAAAGACTTTAGACTGGGATGGAGGTTTACCTTCCAACAGGACAATGATTCTAAACATAATGTAAAATCTCCAATGGAATGGTTCAAAACTTAACATATCCAGGGGTTAAGAAAGGCCAAGTTGAAGTCAAAGTCCAGACCTGAATCCAATTGAATATGTGGAAAGACCTGAAAACTGCTGTTCGAAAATGCTCTGCATAAAATCGACCTGAACTGGAGCTGTTTTGCAAGGAAGAATGAGTAAAAATTTCAGGCCCTCGGTGTGCAAAACTGTTTGAGGCATACCCCAAAAGACTGGCAGCTGTAATCACAAGAAAAGTGGTTCTTCAAAGTATTCATGTACGGCAGCCAAATAATTCTTCATGCCCCACTTTTTATTTTTATTTCTCAAAAAAGTTTAAAATATTGTATGAATTTTCTTGTACTTCATGACTGTGAATTCTTCACAAACAAATCAAATTTGATATCTTGAAGTTTGAAACCTGCAACGTGGCAAATGGTCAAAAAAGTTCAAGGGGGACAAATATTTTCGCAAGCTCCTGTATGAGCAATGTTTGGCAGATGGAAGAAGCGCTTTCAAAAAATAAACAAAGGCTGTTAAGTGTTAAAACACATTCTTTATCCATAAGTGTCCAGGGAAGCAAGACACAAGAGATTTTCAACATTTTGTACGACATCTTCATGTTATCTTTAGCGACATTTAAAAAAAATAACAGACATATGTTCAATGTAGAGTTCAACATCAATGTAACACTCTCTTATGAATGCATCAGAAAAGAAATATCTTCTCCATTCAGCACATTTACCTTTTTGCTGCAGTGCGAGCTGTCTCTTGGTCTCGATGCTCTGCAGGGTGGCAGCCAGGTTCCTGGGCAGGCTGCTCGTGTTTTTGGGAGTTAGAAGAGGGCTCTAAAAAGAGAGTGCAGTAGATATAGTCAGAAGATTGTCTGGCATGAGGGAGGGTAAGGCAATCACTGCTGAAGACATCTCTCGACAAAGAAAAAGAGCAAGTCTACCTTGGAGCTTGTGTTGCGGCCCAATGTTGCTGCTCCTTGCTGCAGAGCAGATCCAGAATTTGCGACGTGAGGCGATTGCTCTGGATCACTTTCAAGCTTGGAGCGGAACACCTGTGGATAACGCACAAAACTGGATGAGGAGCTGTTGTTTCGCAAGTTAAATCTGCTATAATACAGGGTGTTCCAAAAGTCTTGGGCACATTTTGACATTGAATATCTCGGAAACTATTAAGGATATAAAAACGCATCTGGTAAATTCAGAAAGCTTGTAATCTCAATTTTTACATGGAATGTTCAAAGATGTTCAATGTGAGCACCATTGGTCACACGACACACATCAAGCCGATCGTCAAATTCTTGCCAAATGCGTCCCAGCATTGCATTGTCAATGGTTGCAACAGCTTCTGTTATTCGTGCCTTCAGCCTTAAGCATAAGCACCCATCCGTTATGAATTTACCATGCCATCTCACTATGGACTTCCTCTTTGGTGGCTCCTTTCCGAATTTTCTGCGAAATGCACGTTGAACAACAGTCCATGATTCAGTTTTTGCAAATTCAAGCACACAAAACGCCTTTTCTGGTTGAGTGAACGCCATTAATGGGTCTGAAAAGAAATATAAAAAATCAATAGCCTTACGAAAAACTTAATGTAATTAGCTTTAAAATGGCACGACTTTTATCTTACTACCATTCATCGTTAAGGAGATATGGGGACTTCAAATGTGCCCAAGACTTTTGGAACACCCTGTATAATAGAATCCAGTGTGATGGTCGCTGAGATGTTTGCACCTGCAAGGAAATTTCTGTGAGATGTTAAATAAATCAATGGAGGCAATCAATTCACTTTCAATCAGTAGTGCGTTTTACCGATCAAAGAAGCCTGCTGAACTTAGTCTGTGATTTAACAAATGGAACTTTGATGCTGCAATCACAAACTGCTGAAGTGAACTGTAGTAGCAATAAAAAGAGGAATACCTTGAAAGAACCCGACGTTCGTCTTAGGCTGGCATAAGCAATGTGTTAACGCAAATTTTTTTACTGTCACATGAGAGGAAATTTAATGTCATTTGCTTGTTTTACTGTCAAGATGCTGCGTGAGTGGGTGGAATGCAGCATTATTTCAGACTTCACACTGAGGGCTCTATTTTTGCCGACGGCGCATCTGCATTGGGACGCAAATGTCGGTAGATACTGACTTTCGTGCGAGCGCAAGACTGGCTGCACGTGTTTGCCTATTTGGCAGACGGGCCTTCGACAAGCTGAGCGTTGGCGCAAGGAGAGGGTGTCCTTGGAAATGCACCTGGGTAGAGCGACTTTGGTGATCTAAACTAATGTCTGCTTCGGCCACATCTAAATACTGGCACAAGCAAGACCACTGGTTCGGTGTGTAACAAAAAACAATTTGAATCAGAAAATCAGATTTGACTTTCACGAGTTTAAAATGTATCGAGCTACATACCGTTCTAAAAAGTTCATTCATATGTTTGTAAAATGAGAAACTCATCGCATTATACCCTCTCAAACTGAGCTACACCATATGGAATCAAACTGTAATCTCAGTGAATCGAACTGAATCCAATCGCTCCACTTTAAAATTGAACCGTCCTTGAATCATATCTGAGAAGGAAATTATATATAACCATTTTATCAAATGTAATGTTCCAATCATATTCATGGCTAAACAACTACACATATACTCATATATACTCCTATAGTCATGTACTCTTATATGGTCTGTGTTGTTTTTCTCATTTTACCAAAGTTTAGAGAATAGCATACTAACTACAATTCCAGGAACACAAGTAGGGCTGCCAACCTTCACAAAGTCAGGTCAACCTGGACACCCATCTTAAAATACACATAAAGCCAGAGACAGAGGGGCGCGGAAATGGGCAGAGTAAACAAATAGAACATGGGTTGAAGTCGCCATACATGTCATGTCATATTGATTCTCGTATTGATTGTGCTGTTGCAATTCATGTGACTTTTAATAAAAAGCTCAGGTATGGGATGAAACTGCAGAGATCCGACCAACTCACTGTGGTTTCATCTCTCCTGGCCAGTGTCTTGCCATGGGTGTCCGTGTCCTTTTGTCTCTAAAACTTCCTACTTGTCGTGGTGAGGGTCACGCCAACGTCTGTAAACACCCCCACCCCGGTCACGGACCACGACCCACAGATCCCCCGGGTTGCGTGCATTCATAAAATTACCATCACCGGTCTAACTGGCCTCTGGCGCACAAATGTTTGCCGTTCAATGAAAAATAGAACATTTTGTTTTCTACATTGAGATAAAATTGCGTGAGAAAGCTACAGAGTCAATCTTGGAGTGGTACTATAGTGTGCAGAAAAGACAGGATAAATGGAAAAGCGATAGGAGACCCTCTACCTGCAGTGCGGGCTTGCGGCCTGACAGCGACTTGGCTGGCAGAGGGGGAGACCAGAGCTGGCTGGAACCCGCCAACAGCTCCTGGTACCACTGTTCTAAATCTAGTTTGGGCAGTTGAGGCCTGATGCCCTCACACTGGTACAGCAGAGCCCACCGAGCAGCAGCAGAGTGAAGGAGGTGCAGCATGGAATAGACAGGCAAATTGAAGAGAAAACATTGCAGAGATTAGAAAGCATTTCAACAGTAAGGAGGAAAGTTGAAACATATTTTGAATATTTGTTCTTAAATATCTCTAGTGCAGTGTCCCTATCAACTGCAGTCTGCTTTATACCCTCGAGCCGCTATATCCCTGTTTTACATTTCTGTATCCTAATTCTACGCGTCTACTGCAATGGCCCAGTTTCTTACAGTAACTTTAACATGTTCGTGTCTTGTTCTGTTTCACTTAATCTTTCCTTTAATGTATTTCCCCTGCAGTGTGAATTAAGTAGTGGCATCACTTTTTGAGCAGAAGTACAAATCAAGGCAAACACACTTGCTTGTTGTATTGATGGATTTTTTTTACGTTCAGTAGAATAGACCTCCAAAAATGCACAAAGTTGAATGTGCTGATCATTTGGTAACTTAAACTGAAATCAAAAATGGATTCTTGATGCATGTTAATTCTCCCAACTAATTAGGAAAGTAAGATAATGACAAAAATGAAAGAAAAATATATTATCGTGATCTAACATTAGCCATGGACAGGGACCAATAATAATCCGATTCAAAGCAGCAAAGCCAAACTGAATTCTTGGACATCAGACTAATCACAATACAATGACTGTCACATTTCTATCGTAAATACGGCAGTATGTTAATGAAAACTACTTTTCACCACGCTTTGAAAACAACAATGTTGGACTGGGCTGGGGAAGAGCTTTGCCTAATCACACTGCAAAGTGCCTCAATAGGCCTTTGTAGACAAGAACAACTCTGGTAATATCTCGTAACACTGACATGATAGACATTAAAGTGCCTCAGATTTAAGTCACGGTTGCACCGTTACTATTTATCAGTGGGAAATGAGAAACTTACAATAGGTTAAGAGTACAGAATGACAGAAAAATTCTGTACACAGAGGATAGGGAGATATTGGTGCTTTCAGAGGTTACGTGAGGAGTAAAAGGAGAAGGACACCACACACCTCCACAGGGAAAGACCAGGAGATGTTGGGAGAAGAGGGGGAGCAGGAGAAGGTTGTATCTACAGCTTCAGACTGCAGGGGATGGCGAAATGGAGAGGTGGCAGAGGACTCCACCTTGGGCATCCCATACATCTGACTCAAATGGCTCACTGTCACATACTCCTTCCAGAACACACACACACGTGCGCGCACACCAGCGGTAAGGAAGAGGAAGAGTAGAAACATCAGCAGAAAATTTTGCGAGACAGGCCCAGCAGCAGGACAATGCATTTAACATACCTGTACATCACAACGGAGAAGTACAAAGGATTTGCATGACAGAACCCATTTTATAGCAACACGGCAAAATATTAGCATTGAGGCTGCATTGGGGTCTGTTTGCCCCCATTTAAATGTCTGAATTGGGATTGTAGAAAATGAACAACACAAATAAAGAGGCTCTGATATTTTGTTTTAACGAGCCCATTGGTAAATGTACAGGGATCTACCACCTCGTATAGATGTTATGGGGCTTTGGGCTTACACTTGTAGAGTGCTTTTCCATCTCCAAGGCACTCCGAGCACTTCAATAGTGATTCCTCATTCATTTACTGATTATGCAGCATTAGGGGCAACTGGAGGTTTCACTATCTCGCTCAAGGACATTTCAACACCACCACAATTGCCAGGGATCAAAACCACAACCTCTGGGTTGGGAGACAACCACTCTACAACTGATCCATGGCATGACATAATGATGTGATTACGGCCAGTAAAAGTGATGGATTGGGGTCATAATCAGAATACAAAAAGTAAAGGAGGACAAGCAAGATATGACTCTGTTCCAGGCATCATTTGAAATCATTTTGATTGATTTATTTATTTTATACCTTTGGGGGTCTTACTAAAGTCAGTCCACGAAGAGCAGTGACTGAATAAATAACTGTTAATGTTACCTTATTTTAAACTTCACAAAATGATTTCATTACATTTAAAGAAACAACACAAGCAATGAGCGGTGTCTTAAAAGTGTAGTTTGATTAGCAGCTGTCCAGAAGAGGAAGCAGCATCACATGGAACTGACAGTTAAAGTTAAAGGGAAGAAGCCCATTTGCTGGACTGTCTGTCACTGCTCTGTATAATCAGAAATTATGAGTGCTTTCCATTAAAAAAGGTGAAGAAAAACTCAAAGGAGAAAAATACAAGAATTGAACTCCACAGACATTGAAACGTGGATCTGGTCGTGAGACCAAATCCTGGGTCCAGTGTGATCGGCACGTCAAGCAAAGAAGAGCCAGATGTTTTGATGATCTGGGTTTATGTCAGGTCAAGGTTCGGAGACTTTATGTGTGGTGAAAAATGTAGCAGATGCCATTCAGACTCGAACACATGTTTCCATCACATGATTTTTGGTGGGACAGTATTGGAATTTATTGCACTAAAATAGTGATGAAACATGCGTTTTTTTACGTATGGATTAGTTACTACAAATTTACTTGGATCCCCTAGTGTGAAATCTTGGTAGGTGTTAGAAAAAGCTTTTAGCAGCAATAAGACCCCACCACCCACCTCAAATAATTTGATATGTTATCAAACTATTGCCTTGCTAGAAATAAATGGAAAAAATACAGTACTTACAAAGGCAGGGTGACTCTTTTTTTGACAGTTAAAGGTAAAAATTGCTCATCTTTTTTTTTAGATACACAAGTTCTGTTATGCCTTTATGGAGTGGCATACATTTGGCAATGAAGTGAAGTGTATCAGACGAGTAAACTAAAAAAAATTTTTTTTTAAATCAACAAGCAATGAAAAGTAAGACTGCAGTGAAAAACACACTAACAAACACAAAGGCAAGAGTCAGTCATTCGTCACCAAAGCAAAGCTGCCTTGTGTTTATGGGTGTGAGTGCATTGGATAACAACAACATTAAATCTTACTTCTCTCATGGCTGTAGGGGACTTTGGAAAGCTCTTTCCTCCAGTTAAATGGTGGTACCTCTGTTCCAAAGCAGAGAGCCTTTCCTTCTCCTTTATAAGACAAAGACAATTCTTATAAAGCGATTCTTCACGACATTCAACGGAGCCAGTGACTAAAATGAATTCAAATCTGTAATCCTGCCAGATCTGCATTTACTGCAATTAGCCAGATTTTAAATTGTGAACCTTTTGGAGCATTTGCAGCATGATGGTCCTGTCTTTGGCGAGACGCTCACATTCCTGAGATGCCTGGAGGCCCAACTGGTTGGCCTGGTTCTCCAAAGCAGTCACTTTCTCCTGAATAAGCACATATCAAGTTATGGTAAACCAGGTAAGGGCATAGCATGTGTAATGCAAGACTATGAAGATCGAGTGGGATTTAAAAAAAAAAAAATCACATGGACCAAAATAATGTACAAATGGTTTCAAGCAAGTGGCACGGCGGTCAACTGGTTAGCACATCCGCCTCACAGTGTAGAGGTGCAAGGTTTGAATCCAGGCCCCGGCCTTCCTGTGTGGAGTTTGCATGTTCTCCTCATGCCTGTGTAGGTTTTCTCCAGTTTCCTCTCCTACATTCCAAAAACCTGCATGACAGGTTAATGGAATGCTCTGTGTGTGTGTGTGTGTGTGTGTGTGTGTGTGTGTGTGTGTGTGTGTGTGTATAGATTCTAAACTTGACATAAGAGTCAACTGGTAAAACAATAATGTTCCTTCTTCATCAGTGATTTTGACCTAACCTTTTATCTCAACCTAAAGGAAAGGACACTGTAAATTCCGGATTACAAGCCGCTACTTTTTTTCCACACTTTCAACACTGCGGCATGTAATATGAAGCTTTTTATTTTTATTTTTTTTCCCATCGCGGGAAAAACATAGACCAACAAAATGAGTGAGTTTTTCACTGAGGTCCAATGAGATTGTATGATTAATCACAACCTCCGCTCTTTTTGCCATAGCGGGGAAAAATGTGTTACCCGTCAACAGTCGACCAATAAAATGAATGAGTAGTACACAGGGGTCCAATGAAATTGTATGATTACCGGTAATCACAACTTCCTTATTTCAGTCTTTCTTCTAACCCTGATCAACATGGAGAATACCAGACGAAAGGCATATGATGCAGCTTTTAAACTAAAAGTAACTCTGGCAGTTAAAGAAGGAAATCGAGCTGCTGCCCGTAAGGCGTAGAAAAAAAAAGTAGTGTGTTTCCGGTAACCCGACCGACCGAGAATTTCTACGTCGAAAAAAAACTTTACGGTCGGCATTTTTTTCAAACAACCCTCTACATTTTTGTGTAGACGGTTTACATCGGTGCAAACTCTCGCGATATTCACGTTGAGCGCGTGCGTCGTTTGCCCTGTCGTCTGTCAACAACATTGAAACATGGCGGCGGCCGCGATCTCCGACGACAGTTTAAACCGTGTTTTTTGTGTTACAGTTGCATGCTCGCACCATAATGTTAAGAAAATAGCATCCATTGATGTATCGAAAAAATAAAGCGAACTATTTGATGAACACCACGGGCCAAGTAAAAACCGAGGGCGGAGGAGGACGGCGGAGGAGGACGGCGGAGG